TGGTCACTTTCTTGTACCTTGCGTCACTACACTACACACACACACACACACACACACTCCCTCTCTGCTCTCTCTGCCCTTTCTGGTTACAATCCCATCTCATTCTGCTAGTATAGGCAAGTCTCCGGACTCTTTATTTTCGTCTGTCGGGTCAGCAATGCTCCTCACTTCCTTGGACGGAAGTAATGCACGATTCCTGCTTGATGGACTCGTCGTCATGGTTGTGATTAGTCATGTACGGAAATGGCGTGTTTTTTTGACATGCTGGAGGGCTTCTACTCCGTCTACAGACTAATGCTAGCCAGGCACCCAGAACCAGACAAGGTATGGGGGGGGGGGGGCTAGGTATTTACCCGGTTTCTATCCGTACCTGTAGCAGTAGTTTATTGATTCCTTGCTGTGTACGGGAGAGTACAGAGAGTACGGATTAGCATCACCAACATCACTTACGGGTACGAATAACTACGGGTATCAACACTACTCGACTACTACTACTGTTACCAATACGAACCATATTACTACTCAACTACGACCATTACTACTACTACTAACTACTACCCAACTGCTACTCAACTGCTACTCAACTGCTACTCAGCTGCTACTACGGAGTACTGCTACAGAGTGTACTGCTACAGAGTGTACTGCTACTACGGAGTGTACTGCTGCTACTACTACTCAGCTGCTACTACTACTACTGTGCTACGTGTGCTGCTGTGCTGCTGTACTGCTGATACTCTGCGTACTGCTTACTCCTGGTAAACTACCGTGGCTGTGCATCACGTCCTCCTGTACGCGTACTCTCTTGGCTCCTCCATCACGACTCATCTACGATTCAGACTACGAGTGCCACGAGCATCGCTCGTACATGCAGAGTATACGGGTATGCTCTACCCCGTAGCAGATACAGATCACCGCTATCGAGAAGATGCTACCCCTACCTGATCATGCAAGGTACGGCTTTCTCTATTCAAGCATCCTTACTCCTACATGTGCAGGCTCACCATGTACTTACCCGACCCATCCGAACTCCCTCGATGCTACTCTACCCTCTCTCTCCTCGTCCTTGGCAGTGATGTGTGCTCAGAGGGACCCCCCCCCCCCCTCCTCCCCGGTGCCGTACACACACACACGCACGTCATGTACAGCATCTGCTACAATCTTTGTATCCAGAGCGGCCTCAGCCCTGCACAGCCTCACCTACGGCTGAAACACGCCCAATACATCTGACCTCTCCGAACTCTCCACTCACTCGATCACTCCATATTCCTACAGCTTCTCAAACGTCTGATGGTGACGAGGAAAAAAAAAAGTCTTATATTTTCTTTCGTCAGCAATCACATTCAAACTGCCCGATTCCGTTGTCTGGACCAGCTGCAATGCCTAGACGGATCTGAACGACCCCTCCCCCCACCACACACACACTACACTTCCGATACCAAAAGCGAACAGGGGCCGGTCATACGACGACTTGCCAAGAGTAGATGGCAGCATATGCCAACAGAGCGGAAGAAGAAGAGAGAAGAAGACAAAATTGTTTGAGGTTCGGTGTCGCCTATACAAAGCAAAGATACAAGACAAGCGAAAGACGATGGAAAAAAGTGAATCAAATACATGGGGTAATATTAGAGAACGCCAAAACTCTATGCTCAGTTGATGCCAAAGATGTGAGTAAGAAAAGGAGAGGAGAAATATTAAAAAAAAGAGAGAGAGAGAGAGAGAAAGGGAGTGTATCCGCGGAAAAAAAAAAGCAGAGAGCAGAAAAGGGGGGTAAAAAGGCAAAAAAAAAAAAAAAAAAGATAAAAATATTTAAAAAAAAAAGTTCATCAGATGAAAATGAGCAAGAAAGATGTGCGGTCGAGAATCCCTAAACAGGCTGTCAGATCTCTTCCTGAAATCTCGATCCGGATCCCCTCGATCCGTCGTTGGACCCAGGGCTCTGCGTCAGCCCGTGAATGCCCCCAGCACGAGGCGGCGACGAAGGCGGCGACTCGAACGAGTCCTCGAATGGGTTCTCCTCCGTCACCGGCGTCTTGCCAGGCCCGGTCCGCATCACGGGTACACCGCTTACCGGCCTCATCGGGTTGCCCAGAGCCAGCAGCCGCGTCGGTCCACCCAGCTGCCCTGCCGCGCCGGGCTCGAACGCCTGGGAGCCGCGGTAGTAGTCCGACTCGCCGCTCATGTAGCTCTCTCTCGGGTCCGAGAAGCCGTCACCGCCGTGCTGCAGTACGGACGGCAACTTCCTGCCAGACACGCGCACGAAGCCCGTCTCGCTGCCCCCCGCCACGCTGGCGTTGGACACCGAGTCCTGCTCCGACCCATTCTTCTTCCGGGCCGCGGCCAGTCCCGCCAGCACGGACGGCACAGACGAGAGGGCGCTGCTGCGCTGCTCCGCCATCGGCGCCTGTGCTGCTCCCGATACCGCTCCTGGTGAGCCCGGGCCCGTGGTGCTCGGTGACCCGGGACCGGATCCGGGCCTAGCCTCGATGCGTCTCGATGCCGACGAGCCGGGCGGGATGATCTCGTTGACCTCGTCCCTCCTCTTCTTGTACTTGAGAGCTATGAGCACCAGCAGGAGCAGCACCGCTACGCCGGCTATGCTCCCCACGACGCCGCCCACGATGCGCTTGTTCTGCGGTGACAGGGCGAGGGGTTGTCCGCTTCCGCCGTCATCTCCGCCGTCTCCGGTCCCACCTTGGTCTCCGGAACCGTCTCCCTCGGCCGTCCCCGACGCGGTGGGGATGCCACTCTGGCCTGAATAGTCACCCCAGCCTCCCAAGCTGGTAGATGTGGGCGACAGAGATGTGGACCATTTCAAGGAGTGGTCGAAGGACGACGATGAGGCGGGGGTGCTGGTGCGGGACGATGACGAGCGAATCGATGCGACGCTGAAGGATGATGAGATGGGGGTGGTGTGTCGGTGATCGGAGGAGCTCGGTGTTGTCGATGGCGTTGGGCTTACGCTCGGCGTCGTGGTGGCTGATGGGAGGGGCTTGTGTTAGGATCCATGGTGTCGAGTACAATGCTGTTCTTGGCAATGTGTAGGGGGGGGGAGGTGTGCCGAAGGACTGCCGGGAAAAAGAACTCACTGTTGCTACTATGAGAGGCCAGGAGCGGCGTTGTGGAGAGGAGGGAAGGAATGAGTACAGATGGCGTCGTGGTCGAGGGGGTCTGCGTTCCTGGGGAGGAAGATGTAGACGTCAGGCCCTGCGAAGCACTGATGACGGCATCCGTCGAGCCGGTAGATGGCGATGAGGTGGCGCCGGCCGACGTCGAGGACAGGCCTACCGAGGCCGACGCTGCGTGGATCGTCGTCGGATACGTGACCGAGGGGTTGTAGGAGGGTGCCGTGGATGCGGACGGGTCATTGCTGTTGCCGCCCGGGCTCGAGGCCCCGGCGGTCGACGATGACCCAGGGGCGGAAATGGCGGCGATTGTCTGGCCCGACACGCCGTCAACGACGACGGTGTTGGGCGGGGACGAGGTTGTGCGTGTGGCCAGAGGGTTGCCCGACGAGTCGACTACCTGGATGAGCTCGATGGTCTGGACGACGTTGGTAACGTAGGCGTCACCGGTGGGCTGGTCATCAGCTTGGGCGTCGGGGTTGCGGCGTTGCAGGTGGAGGGTATCTGCCTTGTCGTCGCTGTCGTCGTCGTCGTCGTCGTCGACACGATGCTGCTCGCCGTCGTTGTCGGATGATGGCGATGGTGAATCGAGGAGATTGCCGGCTTCGTCGTCTTCGCCGCCGTCGTCTTGATGATGACGACGATGGCTGTGCAAGTGCTGATGAGAATAGAGCCGGGAACGAGCGTAACGGTGATTGTGCGAAGAAGAGGCTCGAAAACGGGAACGGGCGTGTTGATGGTTGCTATCGTCGTTATTGGTGCCAGAGCGAATGTGGGAGCGACCGTGGGAATGAGAAGAAGAACGAAGGTGGGAGGCGTCCTGGTCAGACCTGTCTGAGCCGAGATGAGGAGAAGGAGGGTCAGAGCGTAGGTTGTCGTCGTATTGCTGCTGCTGGCGGTACTCAGCCTCGCCCGGTCGCTGCTGGTGCTGCTGCTGGTGCTGCTGCTGGTCGGCAAGAGATGCGCTGTCGCCGCCACCGTTGAAGCTGGTGCTGCTGCTAGCCATTGTGCTGCTTGTGCCCAGGCTCGTACCTACAGTAGCCCCACCCCTAAAAAAAAAGCCAGCAGGCCGGTGGACCTTTTTTTCTTTTTTGTTTCTTTTTTTCCTTTTTAGTGGTGAGCACTATATTTAGGTAGGCCCCGGCTGATAAGGGGGAGGGGGGGCGGGTGGTGAGGTAATCGCCCTCTCAAGACACACGAGAGACTGTGGGTGTCTCTCCTGCGATATTCCCAAGATTGCGTCTTTCTTCCCTCTCGAGATGCAGATCCAGGATATCAATCAGGATATTTTTTTCTTGCTCCCGATGAGAATTCCCCGCTGAAACGAAACGATCGCAAAGATTTGTATGTGTATTCCGGCCAACAGCAGATGGATGGATGCCTGAGGGGCCGTCGCTGACCTGCAGGATCCACGCACGCAACTGGGGTCTCTCTGGGAGGCTTGAGGAAAAGTGGATTTTGCCAAGAAAATGATGGTCAAGAAAAAGAGGGAAAAATGGAGGGAAGGAGTTGACCAATTCTTCGGCGCCGCGTGCTTGTCAAGATGACCAAATCAAGTCAAGTTTCGATAAGATTGTTGGCCGGGAATGGCAGTTTTGGAGAAGCAGTAGAGAGGGAAACCGGATTCGGCAGATGCCATCAACGCTGGTTTCTGATGATGCGACCCTTTGGGTACGGTTCGGCGTCGACGGCGTTGGCGCTGGTGTCCAAGGTGGGGGGAGGGGGCACCTCTCGCAGGAGCTCGTTCTCTGTGTTTGCTCTGTTCTGCTCCGCTCGTCGACGTGTTGTTTCTCGTATTCCGGCGGGCAGGCCGTCTCTTCTGCAAGCGGGATGCCGGTCTTCTCGTTTTTATCGCTCGTCTTCTGTCGGTTCGCCTGTCGGTGGTGTCGGGGTTTTTTTTCGTTCAATAATATCAGAGAAGATTATGTTTTGATCCGTCCGGTTTTTCTTAAATCTTCTCCCAGGCGTCTTTCGGTTTCGCAGGTCGACGTTGGGGTACCAATATGTCCTCCGAGATTTGTCGAGATGAGGGGGGGGGGGGGGGGGGGGGGGGGGGGGGGGGGGGGGGGGGGGGGGGGGGGGGGGGGGGGGGGGGGGGGGGGGGGAGAACGAGTGACTGAAGATGGAAACAAAGAAAACGAGTGTGATGAAGGGGGCGACAAACAAGGAGAGAAACGAATGACTACCTCACTTGATAGAGGAATGAAAGAACGAATGGACTGGACTGCAAAGAGTACCATAGAAAGAGAAGAAGTTGACAAAGGGGAGTAAGAACGAAGGAGTTGGGGGGAGAGTCGAGATGCTCCTTGGAGAGGAGACAGGCTTGTTGGCTCACGGCTCCCGGAACGCGTCAAGCAAGAATGGCGCTCTACTCTTTCCTACATAGTATTACCTTCTCGTACGGGAGTAATAATATCTCGACCTCGCACGAAATAATAATACACCAGAAGCCCCGTAAAATTATGAGTATAATAATACTACGTACAAGTACACGCAAACAGGTGGTGCGAAGCCATTCGAGCCAGGAAACAACGATATTATGCAGGTTAAATGAAATGAAGCACGGATGGCCCCCTCCCTAATGGGCCCATGGGAAGCCAGGGAAGGTGTGAACAAACTTTCAGAGGCACCAGAAGTCGCCATCCTGGCCTGCGCGTTGGCGGTTGGGAGATTGGATTTCACCAGGGCCCCGACAGGGGGTTTGACCATCTGACCAATGGTGGCGTCAACGGGGGACACCATCTTGACCGGGGTTTGTGCATACGTATTCATCAATATCAGCAGCTCGTACATTTGCTGCGTATATAGCTGGTGTGCTGATGTGTCGGCGGTGCCTCGTATGAGCTGAGCACACGCACACATACAAGGTGCATGCCTTTCCTCATAGAACTGCACCGAGTATCTTGATGCCACCAGTGATGGGTACGAGAACTCCGTACTGATATTACCCCCTGGACGAGTAATGCAGATGGTACTCATACGTCGTAGCCTGTGGTATGGCGGCATCAGTGGCATTCAGAGTGATGAGCCTATCGTATGGTTGCAGCAGTAATATCCGTGGTACGAGGTCGGTTGCCTGACATTCGTCAGCGGGTGGATGGTTGTGTTTGCAGTCATGGTGATGGTGGTGGTGGTGGTGGTGGTGGTGATGACGCCCACCGTGGCACAATATTGGATGATACATGCACTCCGTACATAATATATACTGGCGACATTATACATAACAGCGCTCTGCTAGGAGACTGCCCCGTACCCGTAGGATTCGTAGGACTCATCAAAAACGCCGCGTGCTGGTGTCGATACGAAGCTCGCTTGCCTCCGAGAGTGGGTTCTGGACCTGGTCTGGACTGACCGGTCCCCTGAAGAACCTGAGGGTCCTGAAACTGAAAGGTCTTTGGTGGGATAAAATCGAAGGCCCTCCCCTAGAATGGTGCGGTATTCTTGCAGGTTTGCCAAGGACCCAAGGCGGAGGCTGTCGTCGACGATATTTGCTCTTATGACGCACAGGTATAGAGACTCGGGAGGGTGACTATGATACTGCTGCCATGCTGCCGTGCAGTCGTACATGTACGAGTAGTCGTATGCCGTATATGTGTCTGCTGTCTGTGCCTGATGAGTATTATTGTTTCTATAGGTATATTATTTCCGAAACGTTTATACGGGTAGAAGACTGCGATGATTTCCCGTTCGAGTATGAGTAGGTCGTTTACTCTACTTATAGCGAGTGCCTGCCACGTTACCGGGTCACCGATGCCAAAAATTCCGACCCACGACGAACAGGTCTCCAGAGACAGTACCAGAGCGATGGTGACCCTGAACTCTCGAAGCATACGGGGACAGTGACGATACCCCGTTGGCAGCAGTAACCATCGACGGATAGATGGGCTACGCTCGAAAGGAGACTGCGTCTAGAAAGCGGGAGGAACTGCAGGACATTGGTACGGATAGACTTTTCCACTTCGTCAGAGGGAGAGAATGAGGGTCAGTAGTAAGGTAGTGGTGGTAATGATGGTATATATAGACATATAGTAGATCAAGAGGAAGAGGGAGGGAGGGAGAGAGAAGACATAAGAAGAGACAGAGTTGGTGATGGAGACAGCATGGACGGTTGAGAAAACGGAGGAGAGACCCTACGAGAGACAAGGAAGGAGCCACGCACCAGACAGAGTTGCACCTGCCACCACCCACACACACATGGCCTGTCATCTGCCGCTGCCATCTGGCCGCCCAGCACAGGCACGGGCTAGTACAGGCACTGGACCTCCACTGCACCAGGAACAGGCACCTGGAACAGGCACCTGGAACAGGCACCTGGAACAGGCACCCGGTAGTGGGCACTGGCGACCCCGGGACTGTAACGTACCTGTAGGTCGTAGAGCCGTAGACTCCAACCGCCCCCGCCCGCCTACCTGCCCACTGTTGAACGGCTGCTAATACCGTCCACCCATTTACCGAAACACTACTAACGCTCCTGACGTCACGTCACATCCCAGCATCCTTACTGACCAGTGACGCCCAGTATTATCTCCTCATCCCCAGCAGATCAACGGGGAGGGGCAGTGGTTGTCATGACCGGCTCTGAGAAGGAGCAGAAGCCCAACAATCGCGACAGATCTTCACACTACGAGTACGAGTGCTCGTATCAGTCACAATATGGGATCCCGAACTCTCCCGCCGCCGCAACCACCGCCGCAACTGCCGCCCCGCGGCCAACCCCGGGACCCCCACGACCCCCAGGACTCAGACCAACCACCACTGCAGTTACGAGACCTGGATGACCAGCACGACCAGGATGTCCCTCCGCCCAGCTACGAGGATGCCGTCGAGGACGTCGCCGGACCCGCCCGGACTCCGAGCGTGTCTAAGCCATCGCCGTCCGCGCCTGCTGCTTCAGCTACCGCTCCGGCCGCTTCCGCTTCGGGGCCGCTACCACCGCCGTCACCGTCGTTGCTGGACCAAAAGAGGGCTCCCTCGAATTCCCCGTACTCGAACCCGCCGCCGTCCTCCCACCTGGGCCCGGACCCACGTTCGTCGTCGTCGCAATCCCTCATCACGCGTCCCGAGGCCGACACCGACGTCAGCTATGCCCGCCGTACCCTCCTCCTCGTCTACATCCATGGCTTCTACGGCAACGCCCAGTCTTTCCAGTCCTTTCCCTACCACGTCCACTCGTACCTGAGGACTACGCTCAAGTACTCGCACACCCTCCATTCCAAGATCTACCCTCGCTACAAGACCTATCGCGCCATAGAGGTCGCCCGCGACAACTTCAGCCAGTGGCTCGAGCCCCACGAGTCCCCCACCACCGACGTCATTCTCGTAGGCCACTCTATGGGTGGCCTCCTCGCCGCCGATGTCGTCCTCATGCCCGACGATGCCGCTTCGGGTGAAGCTGCTAACCCTTTCAAGCACCGCATCCTCGGCACCATCTCCCTCGATTCGCCCTTCTTAGGCCTTCACCCGGGCATCATCGTGTCGGGTATAGCTAGCCTCTTTGATTCGGGCGAGCAGGGGCCGCAGGATCGAGAGCAGGAACCCGGAAAGGGCAGTGTCTCCCGCCATCAGACTGCGTTCGATCCTCACTATGACCCGCCCTTCTTCAACGATACGCCCTTTATGGAAAATCCCTTCATCAAGCGCATCACCCACTTCACTGCCAAGCATGTGGATGAGGGCCTAGTAACCGCCAGCGCCAAGCATGTCCTCTCCCACTTTGAGTACGGCTCCTGTCTAGCTGATTACCCAGCTCTCAAGGCGCGTTACGCCAGGATACGCGGTCTCGAGGATGTCGACGAGCTCCACGCCCTTGCTCGTGGTGGTCAGGGCGGAGAGGTGTACGGCGAGAAAGCATATGGCGGGGGAAAGCAGCAGCAGCAGCAGCAGCCCCCCGTCGCCACGCATTCTCGGGTCCGCTTTGTCAACTACTACACCTTGTCCTCCGGGCGTAAGAAGCCTGGCAATCAGCACCAGAAGCCCGAATCCCCTATGTCCGGCGACAGCCGGAGCCATCCGCCGTCGAGCACAGCAACGACAAGCACAACAGATGTCACCTCTCTGGCAAGCCGCGTTACATCCGTGGACACTGGCGCGTCCATGATGACGACGTCGACAGCCTCAGCCTCCAGCCTAAGCATGTCTCCGTCTCCGGGTGACCAGAGCGGTGGCAGATTAGAGGGCGGGGTCCCTCTATACCGAACCAGCTCCGCAGAGACAGAGACGCCGGATGAAGATGTGGAGAACATGACGCTGCGTGATGTCGAGCCCATAGAAATACCAGAGGACGAGTTAGAGGTGGCCAGACCGGTCGATAGCGTGCAATCCTTGCCTCCGCTGCCAGAGCCCCCGGCTGCTCCGCCCAGCATGCCCAACCTGGATCAGTTCGGCGACAAGACGACCCGCAAGCAGGTGGAGAAGGAGCACAAGCGTGCCCAAAAGGCGTATGGCGACGCCATCAAGGCCCACGAGAAGGCTCTCAACGAGCGGCGCAAGCTCGTCGAGAAGCGAGAGAAGGCGGCGCGCAAAGAGGCCAGAGAGATGCAGACGCGGGGAGACGGGGCTACCGCGAGTACTACGAACACTAGCCAGGGAATTGCGGGGAAGAAGGAGAAGGAGAAGAGAAAGAGAGAGAGGGAGGCCTACAAGAAAGAAGAGAAGGAGCTGAGAAGGGCCGAGAAGGAGCTGAAGAGGCACGAGAAGGAGACGAAGAAGGAAGAGAGGAAGGAGAACGAGGCGAGGGAACACGGCGGGAAGAAGAGGAAGTTCTGCGTGCTCCCGAAGCGCAGAGACGGCAGCGTCGACGAGACGTGGGTGGACGTGTACATGGAGGACGTCGACGAGGTGGGCGCCCACTGCGGGCTCTTCTTCCCGGGGCCGCACTACGACAGGCTGGTGGGTGATGTGGCTAGTCGGATCGTCGACTGGGTCGAGGATGATCAGACCAGGAGGACTATTCTGGCTTTGTCGGGGTAGTTGTCTCCATGATTGGTTCATGATTGTTGGATGAATGTATCTGGGCTCTACTCTCTTTGATGATACTCCTCTGGACGTTCATTTATGCCAAGTTATAGATTGACTGATGTGCGAAACCTTTTTTTCATCAATTTTCACCAATTTCCATCAATTTTCATTCATTTTCATACTTTTTGTAGTTTCTTTCACAGACTATGAATCTCTGACGCTAAATCACATTTTCTTAGTTGATAGATTGGCATATCATATGCTTTCTTGCACTTTTGTCATGTATCCTGACTTGAAGCGTCGGTTTCAAGTACTAATATTAAAAGACTAGGGATTCTAGAGAATAGATTGAAGGAGAAGAAGAGGGAAAAAAGGCAATGTATTAAACATTATATGTCGTAACCAAGTATTAGAATAAGAGAAGTTGTATTGACAAAATTCGATGTAATTCTTTTTTTTAGAGAAAAAAAAAGAAAAAAAGACATTTCTATGGGTATCAAGGCCAAAAAAAAATTGGCCAACGAAAGTATGTATATGAAGAAATGCTATAGTGGTACAATGCTGAGAGGGAAGAAGAAGAGAAAGCAATTGCTATACCATAGTTTATTATAACAAATAGGCCGTATACACATCGAGGGCGAGCGCGGAGGTAGAGGGGGGGGGAGAGGTAGAGGTAGAGAGGTAGAGGGAGAGAGAGGGAGAGTGATCCTCCAGAGAGTTTATATAGAAAAAACCGCCATCAGAATTGAAGAGTTGAGAGAAAGAGGGGGAGCTGTCAATAAATGTCCACTTCCCTCAGGTCAAAAGAGAGATTGGTCCTCGTCCCGTCATCCAAGATGATACCGTCCAGCCCGGCGACCCTCTTCGCATTCTCTTCGGCTTGGCTGAACGTGGCGTATGGGATGGCCAGGGCGCCCAGTCTGATCAGTCTTTCGGACCTGTCCCGATCAGCAGCAGCAGAATCGGCCACAGTCCTGCACACGAGGATGGTGGCCTCCCTACTGGTCGTGGTAGGGATCTTCCAACTCGTTCCCGAGACGATGACGGCCGTCAGACGCGCATCTCCCTGCCCTTGCCCTTCCGACGCCGTCCCTGACGCCGTCCCCGGCTCCGGCTCCGATCCCTTGACGGCGGCACGGTACCAGTCCTTTATGGCGTCCGCCTGGGTGGAAGGGAGGCTGACGCCCACGAGGGAGAGGTCATCCATCTGGGCGTCCGCCTCTGCGGCCGTGTTCCGGTGCAGGACCATGTCGACCGTGTAGCTCGTCACGCGGAGGAATTCGACGGCGGACTGCGGTCGTCGGGCGATGGCGTCGCCGTCAATCTCCCAGCTCAGGACGGTGCCGTCGTCGAACCCGACTGATAGCTCCATGCAAGGAGGGGCAGCTACGTCGGCCCCGTGGTCCGGGAGCATGCGCAGGGTCGGACGGCGGGTGGACGGGGACGAGAGGGAGGTGAAGGTGGAGCTCTGCTGCTGCTGATGCTGCTGATGCCGCAGGCCGGGAGGCGCACGCCACGCTAGCCACGTCCACGATGGGTAGACGGCGTGCAGGTTCCGGTCGAGGACGTAGACTGACGATGAGGCGGGGGTGGACGTCGCTGTCGTCGTCATCGTCGTCGTCGTCGTCGCCGTCGTCATGTTGGACGCGCTGTGCGGTGCGACGACACGCCATCCCAGCGCTACGGCCAGACGGTCCGTCTGGCTGACGATGCTGCCCGTCGCGAAGGCGTCCGGGTGGGCGAGCGGCAGTCCGACGAGGTTGTCGATGGCACCGATGCGTCGGAAGTGCTGCAGCATGCCGCGGAACGCGTCGTACCTGTCCGACGGTGCCACGTGGCGTCGATCCATGTACTCCTGTATGCGGGACGATACGTCGGCCGGCCGGGACCCGGCACCGTCGACGGGGAAGACGCGCCCGAGATTCAGGCGACGAGCAGCGGCGCCCTTCACGCCGCCGACCGTGTCATCGCCGTCGGCCGGCGGCGGCGGGGGCTGGCTGTCGTCGAACAAGTCCAGCGGCACCGACAGCGACTCGTGGCAGTGCACTCCGCCGCACTGGAAGTACGCCTGCGACGGCGTGAGCACCAGCCTCCGCCTCGCCAGCAGTCCCTCCTGGTACGTCCAGGCGCGCGAGGCCCACGCCGAGTCGGCCACGTCCAGGTCCGGACGGAGGAGGGTGGTGGTGAACAGCCCCCGCGCCGTCGTCAGCGTCAGCTGGGGTTCGCGCGGGACGCTGACGCCGGGGATGCCCTGGTATGCGCCGACTTGGCCACCGTCGCCCTCGTCGGGGTTGGCATGGGCACTGCTTCTGCCGTGGCTGCTTCCGCCGGCGACGATGACCGTCAAGGCTGACCGGGAGAAGATGTCGCCCATGAGGTCCAGCTGCTCCTGCCGCGCGTCGCCCTGCCGGCCTGACGACCGCTCCGGGAGGCAGTACCGGTCTATCCAGAGGTAGCGGTAGCCCAGGTCGGCCGTGAGCTTGAGGGCGTCGGCGATGAGGGGCGGGAGGTCGGATGGGAGCGAGTCGGTGTCCGTGTCCGTGTCGGTCTTTTCCTCTGTCGGTTCCGGTGCCGGTGCCGGTGCTTCTTCCTTATTCTCGTCGACCTCTGCCTCCTGCCGTTTCTCGGCGTCGCCGTCGGGCTCTTCTTGGACGGCCGATTCCTGGGCATCCGTGCCGGCACTGCCGGCCTCTCCGTCGACTTCCGGTGCGGGCGCGTCTTCCTCCTCGGGGCCGTCGACGTGTTCCTTGGCTGGTGCCTCGTCGGCTCCGTCAGCATCCTCGACGTCCTCTTCCGGTATCGGGGCTTCGACGCCCTCCTCCTCCTGCGAGGCCGGCGGTTCTCCGTCCCTGTCGGCATCAGCGTCGCCGTTGACCGCGTCGCCGTTGACCTCGTCGGCCGGCTTGGCCTCGCTGCCGATCTTGCCGACCGGCGTCTTGCCCCACACGTAGCTGAGCGTGACGTAGTCGTAGGCCTCCCCCTCCCCCTCCCCCTCCTGGACCGCCTGGACGGTGACGAGGCGGCCGGTCCGGACGTCGATCAGCCTCAGGCCGGGCACGGTGCCGGCGGCGCCGCCCTTGGCGCACGTCTCGTTCGAGGCGTGCCTGTCGCGGCAAAAGTCCAGCCAGGTGCGCGCCAGGGCGGGGTCGAGCAGCGGCGTCACCCTCCTCCCGCGCATGACGGCCGCGCCGGCCTTGCCGAAGGCGGGCGAGTACCCGGCCATGCTGGTGCCGTCGTCGTCGGCCGCCTTGACGATGTAGCCCCAGGGGAGACCCTTGCTGCGGGCCATGACCTCGATGAGCACGCTCCGTCCGAGCGCGTGCTTCTCCCGCACGCCCAGCCTCTCAAAGGCCAGCCGTATACGAAGGTAGGGGGCGAACTTGGCGTCCCTCTCCGATCCGTTCCTCGCCACCCCACCGCCACCACCAGCAGCAGCAGCAGCAGCAGCAGCAGCAGGATCCGGCCCCGTCCCCCGTCCTGCACCGTCACTCTCGCTCTGATCCTGGAGCATGGCCCGGAAGAAGGAGCAGTAGGGGCAGGACCCGTTGGCGTCGCCGTCGTCCCGCAGGACGTGGGAGAGGCTCACCCACGGGCGGGGCTGGCCGGGCTGCCAGTCCATCAGGGTCGGGAAGCCGATCTCGGCGCACCTGCTGCAGACGAAGGCGTTGCCGCCGCCACCCTCGCCGTCGTGGCCGCTCTGTCCGCCGGCGACGAAGTCGGCCGTCCTCGTCACGGCATCGTCGTCGCGGTCGGTCGAGGAGGGCACGGGTGCGGTGCATCGCCTCGTCAGAACTCGTCGCGTCGACGTGAGCTGGTGGAGGGTCGGTGCTTCCTGGAGGGAGGCTCGGCTCGGTTTGCGCGTGAGGCCGCGGGGTTGGTCTCTGTCGTGATGACGACGGGCGTGCAGGATCTTGGATAGTTTCTTCATCTTCTCTCTCTCTCTCTCTCTCTTGTTATCTCCCTTCCTTTCTCTCTTGAAGTCGTATGGTTTCTTCTTGTTTTTTCCCCCCTATTATACTCGTATATCTGTTTTTTGTATGGCTTGTATGTGAATCTTGGTTTTGGGAGGGTTTTCTTGAAAAAGGAAAAAAACGTCTCTTTCTCTCTCTATCTCTCTCTCTCTCTCTCTCGCTCTCTCAAGCCAATCATTCAATCGTAAGTCGTTGTCGCATTGTTGTTGTTTTTTTCTCTGTCGCAGTCGTTGTCGCAGAAGAGGACACAGAGCAAAAGGGGAGGGGGGTTCAGTTATCGGGCATTGTCTCCTTCTTTTCTTTTCCTATTTTCTGTCTGGTACTCGCGCATGCCAAGATGAGAGGAAGAGATGATGATATAGAGACGAGTACGAGTACGAGTAGCAGAAGAAGAGGTGAGAAACACAAAAAGAAGAAATGATCTGTACAGATTAGAAGAACGTTCCTCCCGTAGAGTCCCGCCGAGGAGGAGGGGGGGGGGGGGGG